ACAGCTGGGTAGATTTCCAGACACGAAGATGGAGTCGGGATACGGGGGAATGGTGCAATATGCGAACTTTTACGTAGCGATCTCGGGATCGTGGCGGCTTTCAACTAGTGACTTTTAAGAGGAATCATGTGAAATCCGTGTCTATATCATCTCTATGATCAGCTGAATCGTTTTTTTACTCTTCATATAAATTGCAATGAATTTCGCAGATGATCACGCAAAACAACTCAACCAAGATTTTGATTTAAACAAATTATATAAAATTTAGGGGACGAAATTTAAATCAATTTTTGAAAATATAGATTTATGCGAGTGAAATGTTTTTTTTATGCAGAGAGAGCGGTTGGTTAATTAATAGAATTTATAGCACGCGCATTGTTTGCTGTCAAAAATAAAAGTTTCAAATTGATTAAAAAATTCGTACGCGCGATAAAATGTTGATCAGTAATCGAATTTATTATTTATGTATTTCTAAAGGAGAAAAAAAGGGGAATAAAAATATTAAATAAAAAAATTATGGGGTTTTAATCTAGTTTGTAGAAAAGCAGTTTACTACTTGATCAGATGACCACAATAACTGAAGGAGAAGAAGGCATAATAGAGGAGGGGAGATGATTGAAAAATGCTATCTCGGAATAACTGTCCGTTTTGCTCGCAAAAGAACGAACATACACGCGCCTGCAGGAATTTTGTACGATGGAATAAAAGGATGGGTGCCGCCGATTATCGATAAGCTTCGGTGGCATGCACTGTTTTGAAGGTATATCCAATATGGCGTGAAAAGGTTCGGTCTGTCTTCCTCTATCCTCGCCCCGCTATCGTTTATCTCTGTCGCGCACTCGATGGCACAGTCGCTGTCTTGCCGGTCGTGTTTTGACAGTTGCTGCTCTGACACCTCTGGCGCATTCATTAGGAAGTGGTTCTCATCATCAATATGAAGGTAGCGGCATAAAGGCAATTCTCCTTCGAGATGAGAAACAACAAATTTGATTTGGAACAAATAATTTTTATCGCTCTTTACCTTTTAATTATTCAGATGCTTTACATAATAATACAATTTATAGGAGAACAAAGTTTTTTTCTAATTAGTTGTTCATAAGCTTGCAAGAATAATTAAAATTATTATGTAATTAAAGTTATATAATAATAAAATAAAAATTATTATGTATCAGTACATTCATTACTATTAAAATTACATATTTATAGCATTATATATTTTGCATTACATTGTAGTAGCATTTGCACAGTAATAATATTTCGCCTCATAATCATTTAAAAAAAATATATATAACGCATATAACGTAGAAATTTAAAAATTATTGATATATGATGTCTTGTCTAATAAAATTAAGTTGAGAGTCGCTGTATAGGCTCCAGCTGTCCGGATTTAGATGTTTAGGATAATGCGGCGTGGTCGAGGTCTTACAACGAAATAATGTAGTCCACTCTGAATGGTAGAGATGCGGAATGAGAGCGGTGGCGAGAGGGGCAAGAGAGCAACGAACGGAGAACGAACGAACGTGCGAGCGAGCGAGCGAGCGAGCGAGCGAGCGAGCAGGATGCAGAAAATATACTTTTGCGACGAAGAGAGCGGAACGGAGGGAAGAGCCAAGGGTAGCGAAAGAGAGTAGCGACTGAGTAACCATTTTTCTAGTGGTTATTTGTAGACAGATTCGACACCTCGACAATACCGCGGATATCATAATGGGGGCCCGGCGCAGGGGTCCTACCCATAGCGGGAGGGCCCCGACCGAGATTACGCCCATCAGGTATTTGTTATAGGTCTTAGGTCGACCTGGTGGTGAACGTCGCAGGGAAGTGTGAAAGTGGCGGTAAATCTTCGTTCGAATCTTTTTAAAATCGGCGTACGCCATTGTTGCGGTAGAGAAGTTTTCGAGGCTGTCGCCGTCCCCCTGCGCTCGATCTCTTCTTCCGGCCACGGCGATCATGGATCATGGGCTCTTAGCTGCTTAAGGACCCTAGGAGGATTCGTGAAAAGTGTGAAACGGGCATGGAGGATAGGTATTGTGTGAATCATTGCATCGCGAAGTATATATAATGGCGCAACGATGACGCGGAATGGCGCACGTTCCCGCGCCGATGAATCGCGCTCTGATTTGTGTACTTTCGCCTCGGCCTAGTGTCGAAAAATCA